ACCCCCGGGCCCCCGGGCGCCAATGCGCCCAGCTCCGGCCCGTGCGCGGCCGCCCGGGATTCGGAGCGCCAGCTGCGCCTCCGCCTCTGCGTCCTCAACGAGATCTTGGGCACCGAGAGGGACTACGTGGGCACCTTGCGCTTCTTGCAGTCGGTGAGTGTCGCTTGGGGAGCGCGGGGACAGCGTCCGCTCCGGCCGCCAGACCCGCTGGGGAGCACCGGGGCCTCTGGCTCAGGGCGGTCTCCATAACCTGTGGCCACGGTCCCTGGGGGTCGCGAGAGTCGCCTTAGGGGCGCCTCGCAGGGCAGGCAGAGGAGTGGGGAGATGGGGCTCCTCCAGAGCTGGGCTGTCGCCTCTGGCCAGCCCCGCGGTGCTGCTCCTACTCGGGGGTCTCCCGTACCCCGTTTCCCCCCCTGCACGCTGCTCTTTTGTCTTTTTCTTTCCCCCTCCCCTTATTTCAAATAATTTGAAAATTAGTTACATCCATGAGACAGGGTCTCTGGGACCCAGGCTCCGGGAGCTTTGGCTCCTGCGTTCTTTTTCCCGGGGATTTTTTCGCCACCTAGTGCACTACAGACTAGTCATCTAGGACCTTAGAAATCTTACAGCCCAGCGTCCCCGCGCGCCGAGTACTGTAGGATAAAACCCAAAGCCTGGAGGAGGGACAGAGGTCGACAAAACCCCGGGGTAGGACCCCTTTTGCCCACGCATACGCTTTTGCTGGAGGTTGGGGACAGTGGGTTTCGAACTCACGACTCATTGGTTCAGTCCCATCTCTCCCTACCCTCCCCTAAGTCCAAGTTGCAAAACCACAGCGTCAGACTCTGTAAAGTAACAACTGAGCGCTTATTATGTGCCAGGCGCCTACGTGTGTCATCAGGTTTAATCTTCACAAGTAGCCCATGAAGTAGGCACGAATAGTTCCCTCATTTTTCAGATGGAAGAGTTTAGCTCCAGAGAGGTTGAGTATCTTGCCCAGAATCACACAGCTGGTTCAGTTAACCGAGTTTTGAACCAAGGCAGTTCCACCTCTAAACCCCTATTCTATGCTGCATTTCTTCTTTTTTTTTTTTCCCCTGTCAGAGGGAGGAAGGGGCTACTTCCCTACTCTCCTAGGAAGTGAGAAAAGTGGCTAGGGGGTGGAGGGAGTGGGGCTGGGGCGAGCCTCGCTGGAAGTTAGGAGACTCTGAGGGCTTTAATCTCTGTGCCGCCTGCTGGGACCTCATTTACTCCCTTTTCTGCTCTAGGAAGTCTTTTAATCCTGGTTCGGGAAGGGCTGGTGGGGGGTGGGGGTGGGCAGGGGCCACTGGTGGTTCCTTCAGAAACCCCAGAGCCAGACTGCAGCTCCCAGTCTCTGGGGGAAAGAGGGAGACCCTGGCATCCTCTGGGATCCCCTGTGGCTTGGGGGTGCAGCTGAGGCTGTGTGAGGTCCAAGTTTTAACTTGAGGATAGAGCCCTTCTTTCTGTGAAAAGAGGGGTGTGTGTGTGTGTGTGTGTGTGTGTGTGTGTGTGTGTGTGTGTGTGTGTGTGTTGGGGGAAGAGTTGTGCAGAGGCATTGAAAAACCATTTGGCTAAAGGACCCTTCCAGAAAGGCCTGTGAGAATAAGGCAGGGTTGGCGTTTCTTTCCCGTCTCTCCCTTTCTCACAGTTTAACAAAAAAAGAAAAAAAAAAAAGAAAAAAAATCTGCTCAGTTTGAAGCTGGCAGTTTCTGAATTAAAGATGTAGGCAGCCCTGGTGTCTCTGAGCAATGTCAAATTCTAGGGAACTCCTCACTTCTCCTTCTGAGCCACTCCCTGCTTCTCAGACTGGAAGGGAAAGAGGAAAGACAAACCAATTTTTATATTAATGGAAAGAAAGTATACCTCTTCCTCCCATGCCCTTGCCCTAGATGTGCCTGGCAGTGCCTTTCAGAACAGACAGAGAATGCGTTTGGGTGAACTGTGGTTTTAAATTGTCCAAGTGTAGAGACCGAGGGAGCTGGAATAATGGAAATTGATTAGAATCAACCATTCTTATTATTAAAGAAACAGAAAAAACAAAAGATTTCTCTACTTCCATGTTATCTCCTTGACAGTTTGAAATTGCTGACTTTGTCTTTTTTTTTTTTTTTAATCTATCAGTTTTGAGGTGAGCTGGTTCTGACTTTGATGTCTTGGACCACTCCTGCACCTGTCCTGGCCTCAGTATCCCCTACTTGTCAAGTGAGGGGAGGGGAATCCAGACTTTCTTAATACCTTGTCCTTTTGGGGTGTCCTTAAGCTGGGGCCAGAAACAGACTGATTGTGTAACTTGACCAGCCATACCTCCAGTTTGTGAGTTGCAGGAGACCTCTGTTGTTTTGCTCCATCAGAAACCACCCCTAAACAACCGAAAGCCTTTCAGTTTTCAAAATCCAGGGCTGAGCACTTCATGAACTGCTGATTACCAAGGCTTTCCCCCGCACCGAGGCTGGCAGCCTGCAGGTCGTGATTCTCTTCTGTCTTTCCACTCTCTTCTCCCAGCCTTTATGCTTAGGGATTGTTCCCGCTCAAAAGAATGCTGGGTGAATCCCTCTCTGCTTTTAATTCCATGTGGCAGAGGCAGATCTTGAAGGGCTGCCCTGGACTTCTTGTGTCCCTCGTTTTTAGGGCCTGTCATGGGTAGAATGAAGCCTCCGTGGTACACTGAGCATAGTGAGAAATGCAGAAAAGCCAGATCTGGTTTCCTGCTCTCAGGGAGGGGATGTTCTAGACAAGGGTGGCAGAATGGGTGTTAATAGAAATCTGAGTATGAATCTGGTCTCTGGAGCCAGAGTGCTTGGGGTCAGGTCCTTGTGCTGTGTGACTTTAGGCAAGAGACTTGACCTTTCTGAACCCCACTTTCCTCATCTGTAAAATAGAGGATGATAATAGATCTTTTACAGGATTTTTAAGAGAATGAATGAGTTATATAAATATATATAAAGCACTTGGAACAATGCCTAGCAGGTAGTAAGGCATTTCTAAATTTTAGTTATTGTCATTAATTGTTATGTTATACGATAATTAAACAAATAATACAGATGATTAGGATTATAGGATTCTAGCATCCAGCAAGCAAGAGTAGTCAGGGAGGACTGCCTGGAGGAAGTGAGATCTGCGTCAGCACTGAAAGGAGGACAGGAACTCTGAGTGAATTTCCTTTTGACCAACTACATTCTGGAACCAGTGGTTTTGTTTGGTTCCGGGTCTGGGGCTCTGTGGTTCCTCCAGAATCTCCGCATCTTTCACCACCTCCTTCAGGAACTGGATTGCGCCTCCTCCTCTATCTCCAAGTGGGCTGATGACTTTGGTGCTGTATTTTGTGTATGTTTATTTAAGAATCATGGAAAGAGAGGGACAGCCCTCCTGTAGGAATGCTGGATCTCTCTTGGGGAGCCCCATAGAGGTTGTGGGAGAACACGCCCCGGGTTTTGACTGATCTCAGCAGTGAGAAGCCCTGGCTTTGTTAGGTGCACCGTGTGTACTCTTGGGCAGTGTTAGTCATGGTAATAACAATGACAGTCATTACTGTTTGGGAGCTGACACTGATTCTTCATTTACCATTCTAAGCACTTTGCATATATCAGCTCATTTGATCTTCCCAACACTCCGATGAAGGAAGTGCTCTTATTACCCCATTGACAGATCAAGAGACTAAGGCAAAGATAGTTTAAGTATCTGGGTCGTGTAGATGGCTGCTGACTCCAGAACTCACACCCCTAGCCACTTTGCAGACTACCTCTGGCTTATAGAGGGCTTGACACATGACTTATTAATGTGGCAAAACTGGGATTCGAACCCAGGGCTGTGTGACCGTCACCCTCTGCCTGTGCTTTCTCTGGTTACTTCCCCTCTGTGAGGCCGGTTCTCTCTTCTGCAGAATGGGCAGGACTGCAGAAGAATGGAAACATCAGGCTATTGGGTTCCTCCTCTGCACTCCACGTCTGTTTGTGACGTGAGAGTTGAGTGTGGGACTCTGCAGCCAGGCTACTCGTGCTCAGATCCTGGCTTTAACTGGCACTGACTGTGGGTGGCCCTGAGCAGGTCACCAGCCCACTCTGTGCCTCAGTTTCCCACTCTGTACAGTGGGCATAGTACATCACCAGCTGCATCATGGGTGTTGTTGAAGCTTGAATGAACCTGAGGTTAATGCTCTTAGTACTCTGCCAGGCACACAGTAGGTGCTCAGAATGCTTTGTGGCTTTCTGGGGGATGTGCAGCAGTGAGGGGCAGATGAGGTTGTCTTTTTGGGGCTCAAAGTCTTCCCCCTTAAAGAGAGGCCAGGTGAGCCTTGAACCCACTTGCCTCTTGGTTGGATTGGTTTAGGGTCTCTGCCGCAAGGGTTGGAATCTGTCCTCAGGGGCAGGTGCCTGTGGGTCCCCTGATTGGTGTGCCAGCTGGGCAGTGATGGGAAGAGAGGGGGAGCCCGAGTGGATGGGCAGAGAGATTCCCCAAGGGCTCCCCTTGGCTGAGGACAGAGATCTGTCACTCCCAGGCACCCAGAGGGTCTGCCTGAACTGTCTGGGCCGGGGTCCTTGAGGATCAGGGAGTGTGGTCAGAAAGCTCCCAGAATGCTTTCTGTGGTTCTGCTTTTTGGGGGTAGGAGATGAAAGCTTTTTTTCTCATTGGAACTCTGCTTGCCAAAACAAGAAACTGTGGTTTTGTGTTGTCACTATTTTTTTTTTAAAGATTTTGTACTCCTAGTCTGATACTAGCGAGCAATGCTGGGGAGTGGGGGCAGGGGACACATTGTTAATTCTGCAGGCACTGAAACAGAGTGACCTAGCCAGTGACGTGGGGGTTTTCATAACGTTGTGTTGTGAAAAGTAAGTTGCTAAGATGTTCCGCCTTGGGAAAATGAGCAGTAACCATAATATAATGTCCGTTGCATGTATAACATTACAGGAGTTTGGGGGAAAAGATGGATGGATGTGTGTTTGTGGAGAAAGGCAAGCAGAAAGATAGAACAGGAGAAATGTACTAAGAAATGCTGTTTGTAATACCCTTTCCACATACCATTATGCGTAGGTATGAGAGTATTTCTTTTTTATAAATCGCCAACAGAAGGAATTATATTTGCAGCATGATTATTAGATTAATGCAACAGCAATAGTAATAATAATTTTCTTAACACTTATGCAGTGCTAAAATGT